AAACCAAAAACAAACAAAGAGCCCTACCACCTATTTTATGAGAATTCACTGAAAAAAAGGAAAAAAAAAGCTCATACTCAAGTAAAATGTTATTTAAACCCAATTGTTAATTTTAACAGACTATTTATTCTACCAGCCTACAACTGGAAATTCCCAGTCTTTCCTTGTCACTATAATTCCATAATCTCACATCCCTAATCTAAATTTCCCACATTATATTTCTCACATGTGTTGGTTATCATTTGTTTAAATGTCAGGGCTATGCTGAATCTACAGCTGAAGAGAGCCAAAACAGTTTCAGTTTTAAAATATCCCTTGCTACTTAATATTATTCAATCTAATGTATTTCTACGGTCATCTTGCAGTCAGACTTCCTTTTCCTAGCAGGACATGTAGCTGGTAGGGTCCCCAGCACCTCCTCACACCTGGAGGAGAGGCTTTCTGACCCAAATTTGTTCAGAAGGTCTCCTGGGCTAGGTCCGACCCTCTAAAAGCAAGTCACAATAGGAATATTCAGTAAAGGTACCCTCTCTCTCTTTTTAGAAGCTACCCTTCTAAAATACTTTTGTGAAGAAGCCCTTGTATTTCAGGAGAACTGGCGAAATATACACATTCATATCTTCCAAATTGCCCTTTTTGAGTACTACAGGCAGAATTTATGATTTGACTTTTTTTTTTTTTTTTTTTTTTTTTTTGAGACAGTCTTGCTGTGTCACCCAGGTTGGAGTGCAATGGCATGATCTTGGCTCACTGCAAACTCCACCTCATGGGTTCAAGCGATTCTCCTGTCTCAGCTTCCCGAGTAGCTGGGATTACAGGCACCCACCATCATGTCTGGCTAATTTTTGTATTTTTGTAGAGATGGGGGTTTCACCATGTAGGCCAGGCTGGTCTTGAACTCTTGACCTCAAGTGATCCCACCCACCTCAGCCTCCCAAAGTGTTGGAATTACAAGCATGAGCCACCATGTCCGGCCAACTTGCCATATTTTCTATGGTTTAATCCATGCCAAGTTGAGAGCAATAGTTTGTACATTAGTCCCAGGTCTCTTTTTGTTTTTCTTTCTTCATTGTCAATAAACATGTACAGTACCAAAATGTTCGGGGAACCATGCTGAGCACCGGAAATACATAGCAGTGTGATGTGGTCTTTGCCCCTCATGTGCCAACAATGTCCTTGTGAGACAGGGTTGCATGGTTTATATGTTAAGTTTCTATGCCATTAGTAAGGACACTGGGTAATCAAGAAGGCTCAGAAAAGAATGTAATCAAAGAGTCTGAAGTATAGAAAGCCTTCTTAGAAAAAGGAGACTCAGCCCTAAAAGTAAGAGTAACAAATAAACAGGGAGAAAGATGACATTCTAGACAAGGGAAAAGAAATTAAGGTTGTGGACTTCTTCCTGGAATTATACTAATAAAAGCATCATTTCTTCAAACACTTTGGGAGAAATAAATCAAACCAAGTTAAGGGCATCTGCGGTCCCATGGGAAGAAGAATGATAACCAATGGCACAACACCAGATGGCTGCTAGAAGTTATAGGGTATAAAGCCCATGGCATAGCAAGGACATTAGGAATTAATTTACAAAAAGATACTTATTCCAGCTGGGTGCAGTGGTGCATGCCTGTAGTCCTAGCTACTCAAGGGGCTGAGGCAGGAGGACTGTTTGTTGTTCAAGGCCAGCCTGGACAATACAACACATGCCATTTCTAAAATATAAAACAAGAAAAAATTTTAAAAAATTATTCCTTCTGACAACCCCAGCAAATGGGGAAATTACCTAAGTGTTAGATATAACTGGATCAAGATTTCTAAGAAAATTAGACTCTCACAGTCCAGTGATTCTCATTCCAAAAACTTAAGATGGATCCAGGAATTTCACCTCTTTTAGGTACAATGTTCATATACTGAGTAATTCTTTTTAATTTGTATTCATTTATTGTTATTTTTTTGAGACAGAGTCTCACTCTTGCTGCTCAGGCTGGAGTGGAATGGTGCAATCTTGGCTCACTGCAACCTCCACCTTCCAGGTTCAAGTGATTCTGCTGCCTCAGCCTCCCAAGTAGCTGGGATTACAGGCATGCGCCACTACGCCTGGCTCTTTTGTATTTTTAGTAGAGACATGGTTTCACCACGTTGGTCCGGCTGATCTCGAACTCCTGACCTCAAACGATCCACCTGCCTCGGCCTCCCAAAGTGCTGTGATTACAGGAGTGAGCTACCGCGCCTGGCCCACATATTGAGTAATCCCTACTGTGCGTGGTTTTAACATAGGTAAAATAAAACTAATCTTCACTGGGTTTCCTGAGTCTTCTAAAGTTTTTAGAATAAACATTCTGGGATATTTGGCCTGTAGAAGGCAGGTCTCCATACTGAGGAATAGAGCTGGAGTCAGGGAGAAAGAAGGAGTTGAGCTCCTTCAATTTCCACTTTCCAAGAAAGATTTAACAGCACAAAAGAAAAGGTCACATTAAGAAAAAGAAAATCAAACTGCTACAATTTATTTAACTTTTTAACAGGAAATATAAGTATGTAATGTAAACACTGACACGTGAAATAAAGTACAAGGATCAGGAAGACAAGCGAATTGGACAATAGTCTTGCTTTAACACTTCACTGCTTCCTGATTTCATTTGCAGCATGAATCACATGGTTATACAGACTGGCAGAAGTAACGGCAACATTCAGATTTACAGATACACCAGAAAGCCTCTGAAATCCAACAATGCCGTATGGAAGTCTGATCTTTCTGCTGCAAAAAAAAATTAAAGCTGGGCACATGTCCATTTATCCATTTACCCAAGGCATTTAATGTAGGAGCATAAGAATGCACTGATTAACACATGAGCTTTAATATGCTTGTGGAGGCCAAGATTAAATTGTGCCTCTTCTCCCTCTTCAGATAAAATAAAATTAACCAAATTAAAAGCAGAGCTGCCTGATACTGGCCAGAAGACTACATAATCACAGTGAATTCTTATTTCAATAAATCCCAGGAAATGCAAAACACAATAAATGATTGCCGTTGGAGCTTTGCCCAAATGGTCACCCTAGACCTCACGCTGCAGAATCGTATCGGGTTTTCAAGGTTCTTTCCTAGAACTCCAAAATTGGAAAAATGACCTAGATAAATGGTTGGGATAAAGACCCATCATGATTTAAAACAAAGGGCCTATTTCCAAACTTGAATTCGGTAATAAAGAGTATGGGCTGTAATTTTCTGTGATTATCTCAAAAGATTAAAATAACCTGTCTTCTTTCTTATCAGATGACACCTACCAGATAGGAGGTAAATTTTGGAAATAGATGCCTACCGTGCAGACTGGTTCAGTAATGGTACTCAGCATCACAAGATTTGGGGATTCAGATAAGGCTGCTTTAGAGCTAGAAATCACAGAACCATGCATTTGCCAAGTATACCTACTTCCTCACTCACCCCATGATCAAAGGCTATTAAAAGTCATCTGGGCCGGGCGCAGTGGCTCACGCCTGTAATCCTAGCACTTCAGGAGGCCGAGACGGGAGGATCACGAGGTCAGGAGTTTGAGACCAACCTGGCCAACAAGGTAAAACCCCACCTCTACTAAAAATACAAAAATTAGCTGAGCGCGGTGGTGCATGCCTGTAATCCCAGCTACTCGGGAGGCTGAGGCAGGAGGATTGCTTGAACCCGGGAGGCAGAGGTTGCAGCGAGCTGAGGTCACGCCACCACACTCCAACCTGGGTGACAGAGCAAGACTCTGTCTCGCAAAAAAACAAAAAAAAAATTATCTGTAGTCCCACATCCCTCTATACTCCATAATCTATGGAGAAATAAGTATCTTGCATGCTTCCTCCTTATGGCAAGCGGAACAGTCAGTGTAGGCTGAACACTGATTTTCTGAGGGAGAAATGCTACTCTGAGCAGGTGTTTTGAAACTGGTTTTCCCAGGCAAAGCTATCCTTCCTATATCATAAAGTGATGGAGATTTTTAAAAATGTGTTTATAAAATATCACAAGGAAACACCTTCACAACAAAAAACATTCATTTCTATATTCCTTACCTATAACATTTGGCACAGTGTCCTGCCATTTATTGTGCTCTCACTAAAGACATACATAGAACAGAGAGATCCAAAATCAGGTTTTAAAAGTGTTAGGAACTGCTATTTCCAAGGAATCCCTGCATCAGTCCTGGCCTTTGTTTGTGCTATATTATAATTAAGGTGTTGTTTAAAAAAAAAAACAAAACAAGCAAGATGATAAAACAGACCAGCATTATACTACTTTGATTAGAAAAAAGCCATTCATCACAGACGGACCTCCATTCCTGGATTCTTATTTACCTCTGCGAAACATAGAGGGCCTTAGCTACTGTGAAGAACAGCACATTATCACTGTAAGTAAGGCAAATGTTTCACTTATAATTCTCTGTCCTACAGTCAGATCATATGTGCCAGTTTTAACCTGGAAAACAGTAATCAAGTATTGAGAATTAAATACTAGAGATCTTTCAAGCAAGGAGGAGCCCAGTCTATCTTCACACACTCCCCAGTTATTGTTCTGTACTGTCTAGACCTATTACCTCTCCGGTGCTTCAACTCTGTCTCTGATATTCCTGCAGAGCAGATCTCAAAGAGGAGCTTTTTAATATTGTAACTAGCCATTTCTTCTGTTATCACTTCTTTTCTTCTCTCTTGGCATCAGTTCCTATTAGAATGCCCTCCTCTTTGAAAATGAAAGATGGGGCTGGGTGCAGTGGCTCATGCCTGTAATCCCAGCACTTTGGGAGGCTAAGGTGGGTGGATCACCTGAGGTCAGGAGTCCAAGACCACCCTGGCCAACATGGTGAAACCCCAACTCTACTAAAAATACATAAATTAGCTGGGCGTGATAGCTCATGCCTGTAATCCCAGCTACTCGGGAGGCATAAGAATTGCTTCAACCTGGGAGGCAGAGGTTGCAGTGAGCCGAGATCACGCCACTGCACTCCAGCCTGGGCGACAGAATGAGACTCCACCTCAAAAGAAAAAAGAAAAAGAAAAAAAAGAAAAGAAAAGAAAGAAAGAAAAATGAAAGATGGAACTTCTGAAAAATAGATTCATCCTATTTGCAGATATTCAGATCAGTTACCCTTAGGGAAATAAGGCACCTATAATGTGACCCCACATTGACTACAGGGATAGTACTAATATTTGGATCCTGTGTGGCTGCAAAAGAAGACGACTTCCAAACAGAAGCACTACTTTCCTGCCACAGGTCAGGCTGCATCACACAGCACTGCTGTGCTAGTCTAACATACAGGCAGACTGGAGGCTCCAAAGAACTCAAAGAAATACAGACACAATTCTTCCTTAAAATAGAAAGTTACAGTATCAGTTGGGTCTCTGGTTAACCTCATCAGTCCTTTCGAGTAATGTTTTCATGGCTGAGTGAGGAATATGGAGGAGCAACAGATGAGAGTAAGGAAACCTAGGTTCCAGTCCCAGCTCTATTACTTACTGGCTGTGTGACCTCAGGCAACTATGTTTACCTCCCCTCACTCCCCACCCCAGCCTGTTTCCTTATCTGTAAAATGGGGATAAAAAATCACCTGCCTTGTCTACCACATGTTGTGACTGTGAGGATCAAATGAGATGCTGTGAAAGTGCCTTGTAAACTGAAGTACTGACAGTAAAGGCTTTTAAAGTAATAGTATATACTTATTACATTTTAATTAGGTCCTTATAATTGCCTATTTGACTAGAAGTGCCCCATGCAGGATGTGCCTCACGACAGACAGAACTAAAAAATAGGTGCTATAAATATACACTGGTCCTTTTCACTGGGGGTGGTTAAAAAAAAAAGGAAAATTCTTAATTTCCTCAGCAGTGGCCTCAGATTACATTACTTAAAAATGTGATGTCATCCAAGTCTATCAATTGATAAAATTTTCTCCATATATGTCCTATACAGTTGTAGTTTTGTCTGTTGATATCTTCACACGGAGGAGCCTAGAATTCAAAACCTAGCATGCTAAAACTAAACAAAAAAACAATACAACCATATAGTTACAGTGGGTTGTAAAGGAAATGAAAATTAGAGGCATCATTATAATAAAATTAGGTCACAGTTCCTCAAATGGTCGCCTTTTTCCTGAGATAGCTCCAGGACAGGGTCCTAGTTCTGTGAAGTGCTTTAAAGCAGCTTAGTCTTGCTGGAGGTGAAAAGGACATGTGGGCTGGCAACTAGGCTATGTTCATTTTCAGCACGAGGATTTGAACAAGAAGCTCTGCTAGGAGCTGCCAAACAGCTTTGGTGGAGAAGCCCATATGGCCTAAGAGAGGCTTGCTAGTTCTCAGATGCCAGGCCAGAGTGTGGAGAACAGCTTAACACAGCCATCCAGTCCCAGGATTTTCAATTCTTCCTGTAAGTTGGTTCTGCTCTTCTCCGGTCTAGTAAATAATTGAACAGAGGAAAAACAATGAGATATGGAGCAATATATCTATCTGTGCTTTAGGGCCTTTCTCTGCCTAGCTGCAAAAAGTTCACATGCAGAACAGAGACGTGACACAAAAGGAGCAAATGTGATTTTTGACTAGAGTTTGAAATAGACTTTGACTAGCCCAGAGCACCCAGATTCCAGTATTCGTGTCAGAAGACCTTTATTACAAATGTTACAGGCGATGACTTGCAGGGAGTCAGGTCACTGGAATCACTAGTTAACAAGACGGTTGTCCTTTGGGGCCACAGGTGTGTTGCTAACCTCCACTTTTCTTCCTGATTTGCTTTGCTTTCCGGGGTTTGAGGATGGTGTAGTTTACATACACCGTATACTGATCTGACAGGAAAGGGACATAGAATGCCCGCAGCAGCTTTGAAGATCTGAAAAACAAGGGTTAAAAAAGAGAATTTTATCACTTGGGAGAATTTACTAATGGTACTAAATGTAATTAAAAGAAATAAACTAAGATCTGTAGTAAGGATTATATTTTATTCAAGTGGCACAGAAAAGCCTATTACTTAGGTACTAGATCATGATAAAAGACTTAATCAAGGCCGAGTACCTTGTCACCTAAATGAAAATTTATTATTGTCCCTAATATGCTACAGTATCCTTCAGAAGAGCCCTAGGTCTTCATTTTGCATTAGAATGTGCCATAGAAAAATTCCAGGTCAATCGAAGGACTGCTATTGCTGAAATGAATTCTTAACACCAAAATGGTTTCTGCATCTAAGAAACTGTAGAGATGCCAAGTACTCAAATGACCTGGACTCCAGCTCTAAGTTTTCCTGGAGAGGGGAAGAAAACTACATCCTGGGTGCCTGTGCATAGTGTTCCAGTATTGTCTAAGTCAAGGAAAGCGTCTACACACAAGTTCATGTTGTGATAACATGTCCCTGGTAAATTATAATATATCTACTTATTACTGAAACATAAGAACTGAAAACCTAAATTTCTCATGAATTTCTGAAGAATGTGAAAAGTGCTTATATTTTAAATATATTATCTGCCGGGCACAGTGGCTCACGCCTGTAATTCCAGCACTTTCAGGGGCCGAGGCAAGCAGATCATTTGAGATCAGGAGGTCGAGACCAGCCTGACCAACATGGTGAAACTCTGTCTCTATTAAATTAATAAATACAAAAAAATTAGCCGGGCATGGTGGCGCATGCCTGTAATCCCAGCTACTTGGGAGGCTGAGGCAGGAGAATTGCTTGAACCCGGGAGGTAGAGGTTGCAGTGAACCAAGGTCACACCACTGCACTCTAGCATAGGCGACAGCGCGAGACTCCATCTCAACAAAAATAAAAAAAAAAAATACATGATTTAATCCATTTGATAATTCTATGAGGAAGTGGCATTATTATCCCTATTTTATAAAAGGGAAACTAGGGCTTCAAATTGCACAGGGTTACACAGTAAGTGACAGAGGCCTCATTCAAATCCAGGTTTGACTCCAGAGTCTGCACTCTTAACCATTATGGTTTATCATGCGTCCCAGGAACAGACTAACAGGATTTGTCATTTCCTAGAAAAAGTTGTAGTGATAGTTTTAAATTCTGTATGGAGTATTACTTCCTGACTCTGATTTCTGAGTCTGAAAATCAAAAGTTGGCCTAGTTACTGCCATCCTGAATGAGGTAGCTGAAGGTGTTCCACTGCCAGTCCTTTTCCAAATTCTAAACTTGTAAATGTCATGTCAACGTGGCATTTGTACTGGCAGCCTACCCTTGGGTTTGGCAGACTCCTACAATGCCTGCACACAATGACACTGTGCTTGGCATGCATGCCTCTTAGAGATTCTTCCCAACTAGGACGCTGGCAGTGCCCTGTGCTCTGTGAGATTCACTTTACTTCAACAGTGAACTCTATCAAGGGCTTTGATAGAGAAAAGAGGTTTGGAGAAGAGACATGAGACAAAGCAGGGCTCCTACAAATAAAATGAACAGAAGGAGGAAGGATCCACCCCAGTCAAGGAGAAGTTAATGGCCAGGCACGGTGGCTCAGGCCTGTAATTCCAATATTTTGAGAGGCTGAGGTGGGAGGATTGCTTGAGCCCAGGAGTTTGAGCCCAGCCTGGGCAACAAAGTGAGACCTGTGTTTACAAAAAAATGTTTAAAAATTAGCCTGGCAGGTTGGCACACACCCGCAGTCCCAGCTATTCTGAAGTCTGAGCTGGTAGTATGGCATGAGCCCATAAGCCCAGGAGGTTGAGGCTGCAGTGAGCTGTGATCATGCCACTGCACTCCAGCCTGGGTGACAGAGTGAGACACTGTCTTAAAAAAAAAAAAAAAAGAAAGAAAATTTACCCTTTTCATCTACACTGCACAAATAAGGTGAAGGGTAAAGGGTAGAACAGAAAGATGCAAAATAAAGCAAATTCCTACAAGCTTTAGTAAAGAAAGTATAAAACTAACAAGTGTAATTTCCATTTTAGTTGACTCTATAATAAAAGCTTCATTAATATAGTCATTGTATATTTCTGGTCAACTCAGTCCCTGGTATAACCTCAGGGTCCAGTGGTCCCAATTTTAGTTTTCAACTTTCTTTTTTTTCCCCAAGAGACAGGGTCTCACTATTTTGCCCAGACTGGCCTTGAACTCCTGGACTCAAACAATCCTCCTGCCTCGGAATCCCAAAGTGTTGAGATTACAGGTGTGAGCTACCTCACCTGTCCCAGGTTTTTACTTTCTTTTTGTAGCAATTCCTTACTATTTGGGAGGATTGCTAGTTCACAATTTTATTCTTTTTAGAGTCTTCCAAAGAACAAAGATAAATTATACTTATTTTCATTTATTTATTTTGAGACAGGGTCTCGCTCTGTTGCCCAAGCTAGAGTGCGGTAGCATGATCATAGTTCACTGCAGCCTTGACCTCCTGAGCTCAAGCAATCGTCCCGCCTCAGCTTTCTGAGTAGCTGGGCTACAGGTGTGCCTAGCTAATTTTTTATTTTTTGTAGAGATGGGGTTTCATTATGTTATCCAAGCTGGCCTTGAACTCCTGGGCTCGATAAATCCACCTGCGTCAGCCTTCCAAAGTGTTAGGATTACAGATATGAGCCACCATGCCCAGCCTATAAAATAACTTAAAAATAGGCCAGACGCAATGGCTCACGCCTATAATCCTAGGACTTTGGGAGGCCAAGGCGGGTGGATCACGAAGTCAGGAGTTCAAGACCAGCCTGGCCAAGATGGTGAAACCCCGTCTCTACTAAAAGTACAAAAATTACAGCGTGCCTATAATCCCAGCTACTCAGGAGGCTGAGGCAGGACAACTGTTTGAACCTGGGGGGTGGAGGCTGCAGTGAGCCGAGATTGTGCCACTGCACTCCAGCTTGGGTGACAGAGCGAGACCCTGTCTCAAAAAAAAAAAAAAAAAAAAAAGGTAAAAATATAGAAGACAAAGAGGGTCCATTGGACTGAGATAGTAAATGGTGATGACTATTTTCCTGGTAGGCTGATAGATCATGTTCAAAAAAATGATCATTTTCTGAAATTATCAGAAAATGATCTTATTCTGATTCCACTCAGGAGTTGGAAAAAAAAAATATTTCCTGATCACTAGGTGTGAATAAAAGAGAGAGAAAAGAATAATAATAATTTAAAAAACTATCTTGGTCTGCACATGGGATATATCATCATCAAAAACACTGACTAGCAGCCGGGCGCAGTGGCTCACTTGAGGTCAGGAGTTCAAGACCAGTCTAGCCAACATGGTGAAACCCTGTCTCTACTAAAAATACAAAAATTAGCCAGGCATGGTGGCGGGTGCCTTTAATCTCAGCTACTTGGGTGGCTGAGGCAGGAGAATTGCTTGAACCTGGGAGATGGAGCTTGTAGTAAACTGAGATTGTGCCACTGCACTCCAGCCTGGGTGATGGGGCAACACTCTGTCTCAAAAACAAAACAAAACAAAACAAAATAAAACACTGACTAGGCAGGTGTTGTGGTATGTTCCTGTAATCCTGGGTACATGAAAGAATTGCTTGCACCCAGGAGTTCAAGGGCAACCTGGGCAAACACAGCAAAATCACATTTCTGAAAAACAAAAAAAGTTAAAAAATAACTAGCTGGACTGAAATAGAAGAAGGATTACTACGCATTATTGTTGAGTTCAAAAGAGAAGCTAAAACAAGGGTAAAAAATAAAAGAGATTGGGAGAAAATGCAATATATGTACCAGACGATTTGAATCTAGACTATATAAACTGTTTGGGCCATCAGTAAGACAATTCAACAGGAAAAATGACAAAAGATATGATTACAGAAGAGAAATGCAAATGGTTGATAAACATTAAATAATGATCAATCTTACCAGGAATCAGGGAAATGTAAGACTAGACACAATTTTCAATAATCAGGTTTGGAAAAGTTAAAAAGCCTGACAGTCTCAAACACTGATGAGGAATCAAGAAACAGATATTGCCAGTAAAAGTGTAAACCTGCATAGCCACTTAGAAAGGCAGTTTTAGCAGTATCAATTAAAACGAAAATTATGCAGTCCCTATGATATGGCAAAGGACTTTTACTTTGTACTTTACGCTATGTTATTTATTTATTTGCTTGTTTTACAAACAACCTACTTGGTTTTCCATTTGCTATGATTAAAAATTTCAAATATATATAAAAGATAAATTTATTACTTATAATAATGTTTTAAAACCAGTAAACAAATTTTTAAATAAAGGAAACCCTCAATTTTCAAGAACAAAAAGCAACCAAACAAACAAAAAAATCAATGTGCCTACTATATGTAAGCATTTGTGTGCTGGCTCTGAAGACATATAAGTCTCTCTTCTCAAAGGGCTAATAAGCTAATTGGGTAGAACAGATTATGAACGATACATCATCATAACTTAGCATATGGTAAATTCTAAACAACTGACACAGAAGTTCAAAGTGATAATGCAGACATTCAGACGGGAGGTCAAATGCTGAGGGCTGGGTAGGTAGGTGTATAAGCAGCATTTAATAAACATGTAGCACATCATTTCATTTTATCCATCCAGTATTCCAAGGTACACTAAGCAGGAAAAGCAACTTGTCTAACCATAACCAAATCTACAGGCATCTCAGGTCAATACTCTGTGCATTCAGCAGCCACTAGAGGTGGGCTGAATAAATCCCAAACTCTTTCTCACTGCCTACAAATCCCTAGGAGATCCAGCCCTTGCCTGATTGTCCCACCTCACCTTGTGCCATCTTCCTCCTGGACCTCTACACTCCGGTCACACCAGCCCCCTTTCAGTTCTTCAAAAATACAAGCTCCTACCTTAGAGCCCTTGCATATGCTGTTGCCTCAGCCAGGAACACTCTTCTACCCTGTTTTTCTCATGACCGAGTTCATCTCATTTTTCATGTCTCAGCTTAAAAGTTACCTCC